TCTACAGCCAGGTATTCATATGTGTTAGATCCAAAGAATTAGTACAAATAATCTTTACCTCGAAAAGAAAGATTATCTCAGCCTTGAGTTCAGTGTTTGGAGAGAGAGGCTGGGTTTGGTTTCAATCTCAAAGGCTGGTGAGGCACTGTAGAAATATTTTTGAGACTGTTATTTTCATCATGGAACTAGCATATAACATTGTCACCTTTCTTCCGGAAGTAACTGACGAGGGCTTTAAAGTAGCCACCAAGAGTTTCTTTAGATAATGTTCTTTTTTATTATTATTATTTTAAAGAGATTAAGGCAAAAGAGGACATAACAAAGCAAATCAGAACAGAACAATGTAAGCAACACAGTATTTCACCACAAGACAACCTGTAATGTCTCTTTCTTTGAAATAGTTAAGCATAACTTCATATATAATAGTATCAAACATAACAAAATAGTATAAAACCATTCAAGAGAATGAAAGTATTACAGGACATCGGATGCACCAAGGAACAAATCATTTTCCACCACAGCGATCACAATAAAACACAAAGTGAGCCCAGCACCACCCAGGGGCCCAGTCCTGTGGCAAACGTGCTCCTCACACCTGCTCCACTGTCCTTGCAGCACCTCCACAGTGTGAGGTGAGGACAAGAGGCTCAGACAGTTAACTGCTTAACATCACACAACAAGCTGAGTGGCAGGAGAGGAACCAGTCCAGGTCCTACTGCCTCACCACTCACACTCCTAAAACTTGACACGGCATCTCCAACTGACTGTGCCAGCCCTGCACTGAAATGCTGCCCTGTGTCAGGACAGAGGAGGGGCAGGAGAGAGTGACCAATATGGGGATGGACAGGGCTGTGGGTGAGCAGCATAACAACAGGTCTGCAACAGAAGCTTTACAATATTCGGGGATGCACCCAGGATGCAAATGAAAAGGATCTCATCTCTTTAACATGTTGTATCTTATTGTATTTTAATATATGTGATAGTATAAACAAAATTTTTTATATGCAAAGAGACAATATAGAAACCGCTGTTCGTTTTCTGTTAGCTGCTTCTAAATACCCTGTAATACTTTCATTCTCTTCAATGGTTTCACACTGTCTTGATGTGTTTGATGCTATAGTATACGAAGTTATACTCAAATATTTCAAGGAAAGAGACACTATGGTAACTACTATTATGTCAGGTTATCTGGTGGTGAAACACTATGATGCTTAAATTGTTCTGTTCTGACCTGTGTTGTTCTGTCCTGTCCTCTTTTATCTCAATCTCCTCTTTTTTTTAAATAATTTTTTATTATTTTTTAATTAAGGGAAACATAAGTTAAAAAATAGCAGGATATATATTACAGTAACTTTTTTGTTTTCCTAGTAACCTGATTTGAACCCCTGTATTGCTCTCTCCATCTTGTTTTGACTGATTTTACTCTATTCTGTTTTGTTTGATAGTATCAAGTTTGAGGGCATAGGCAACCACTTTGAAGGCAATTAGATTCACTATGATGCCCATTATGGTTTGACTATTATCTTCTTTTGAAGTCCTGTAAGGTCTCCAATGTTTAGGTTTTATTGGTTTTGTTCTGTACTATTTTGTTCAATTGTATTATACCTGATGATATAGGCAACTCTTTTTTAGATAGCAAGAGGCATAATGGTAACTATTGTTGATCGCCTGGTATTCTGTTTTTACATCATGTACTATGTCCATCCTTCTGATCTAACTGACTCTGTTTTGCTTTGTCACGTTTGGTTTTATTCTCTTCAAAAAAAAGTAATAAGAACTGTGGGAGTAATAAAACCCAAAATGTATAATTGTTATTGGGAAAAAGAGAGGAAAAGAAAGTGATCTAAAGGACACAACTGCATGTATATTTAAGTATGTAAGATAGAAAACCATATTACTAAGTTTTTGTTGTTGTTTGCAATCTCACTGTTTGAATGTCTACTTTGTATGCTTTAATTTTGTAATTTGAACAAGTATTTCTAAGATGACAATACGTAATCTATTAACTAGTGATTTCTTACTGTATATTTTTTTCTTGAAATTCTGTATTACTTGTACCCTTTTACTGTTTTGGTTTTTTTTTCTCTTTAAATAAGAAAAAAAGGATCTCATCTCCCCCTAAACTAAAACAGAGAAGAGAAAGCTTAAAAGAAGATCATCATCATCATCAAAGCAAGATTCCATAGCATAATGACATATTTTTTAATTGGTAAACTCCAGGGAAGATTTAAAAAGTCTTTCAAAGCTAAAACGAATAAAGCGTAAGTGCGTAAGTCTGGTAAGTGGGCCTCTTATTGGCAGCAACCCAGTGAGCTCCGAGGTCTCAGCGAGCTGCTCTCTCAGGCTCAGTCTGCGGTCAGGCCCATGGGACCCGCTGTGCCAGACACTCACACTTCACCTCGGGACTCAGCTTCAGCACTGGGAGAGATAGCATGGAATCTGCGCTACACTCCACACAGACACCTCTTCTGGTCATCCCACTCAGCACAGGGACCTAGCTGACTGGAAGGGTGGTGCAGCAGCCCCAGGGGACTGGATTGTTCACGAGAGAGCCCATTTTGCACTAGACCACAATAAAAAGTAGCTTTTAAAGTGTTGGAAGAGACACGGACAATGCACATCTTTTTTTTTTTTTTTTTTTTTTGGCGGGAGTGGAGGGCAGTTAAAAGCATCACACTGCCTCCATTTTAAAATGGGGTAGTTATGGAGTGGGCCATAAGAAAGTGCAATCTTCTAATCATTTCTGATAGCAAGTAGCTCAAAGACAGGGTTATTTGCAATGTGGACTTTACTTCCTCGATAAGTGGGGGTGAAAGTTCCTTGTAAAGCAGTTTCAGAAGGATGGCCAAATGGTGATATGAATTAAAATGAAACAAAAGTGACTAATCCTGATAATTAACCCAATTCCAGATCTCAGTACTCTTGACCTTAGTTTAAAGTTGAAGGAGAATGCATAGAGGTCTTAAAAGCATAAATCTAGGTAAATGCCTACACAGATTCTTGCAAATTCTTTATTTGATCATTCTCCACACTTACCGTTCGGATCTTAGTGATGATTCAACATGTCTATAACACTGACAGTATTTTTGATTTACATTGGTAGCCCCATGGGAAACACTCAGGCTGTAGCAATATAACTTCAGGAATTTACTGGACAATAATAATTACACTTAAATCATTCTATTCATTGCATCAAATATGTCATCAAAACAGGCATTTTTTTGGTTTGTAATCAGATGAGCCTATGGGTTTCTGTAGGTTACATGTTTCTAGGTCAGGTTCAGATCCAGAGACGCAATAGGGTACGCAGGTACCTAGGGGAGGCCAATAAATAGAATTTAGGGAAGATGGAATTATGTCCTGTCTGTGTTGGGAGCCGCTGAAGCTGGAAATTGACCACATGTGGCTATGGCATGGCTGTCCCCAAAACAAAGAGCACTTGGGGCAGGCCACATAAAGAAGTTGCTTCAACCCAGAAAAATACCAAGCCCCTAGATAATCCAAGCAATAGGTTTCTAGGTAGCAGGGTTGCAATTGACACCATCCTTCTGAGTATATAAATAAACATGCTACATTGATTAAGCAGTTCCTTTTCTCCCATTGGGAGAGGAAGGGCTCCACCTGACTCCAGCTTTCTCTCTTTTTTATTTTCTCATCCTCTCATGGTCCTTCACCCCAAGAGTCTCAAGAGCCGCATGGGTTGTGTCATGTCTGCACACTGAAGCTGCCATTACATGGTATATTTTTGGAGAAGCACAATAAATGAATATTTCCTTTTCACTTGAGAAGTTGTTTTTAGTTTTACACAGCCCTAGGTATGAGCACGGTGTCTACCACATTAATGATGAGAATCGATCTTTCTCCTTGGTATACAGCCCTGCTGTGTCTGAAATGTGAGACCCCAACACTTGCTGCAAAACAGCAAAGACTGCCATAGAGGTGGCGTCTCTGTGGAACAGTGTGAGGAGACGCAGAGCGCAACACTGGGCCCCTGCAGCACTGGAAGCTAAAGCTGTCCCAGGAACCAGACATCCCCAGTCCTAAAGGGGATGGGCAGGGGCTGGCAAGTATTTGTTTTTTATTTCCACTGAAGCCGGGGCAAAAGGAAATGAGCTTAGAGCACTCCCTTAAAAAGGAAGGGAAAAAAATATTCCTGAGGCAAAGGCTGGTGAGATAATGGAACATAATTGAGGTGGTGGAAGCCTGTCCCTAGAGACGCTTAAGGGTAGACATCCATCATTTAGGGGTGGTTTTAGATACCAAGGGGCCAGCTGTATTAGCACAAGTCTTTTAGATTTATCTTCCAGCCTGAACATACTATTGCTTAATTTAACACACAGTTCCCTTGGTGCATCCACCCAAGCTGTGATGCACAGTGGGGGAAGTGGCGCTGTCTTCTGACCTCGCTTGGATAACACACCACTCAGAACACCTGAACCACAGCCTGTGCCTGTGAGCACTCACCTTACAACAGGTAATGCATGTGGACTTCACAGAGCTACAGCACCAAGTCTGGACCATGCTCTTCACCAATGAAAAGGACTGTAAAATGTTTTCACTTAGAAAGGGATGCAGTCAAATTGTAATATGATAGGAGATGGAAGTAATTTTCATTTTCTTGTTCTCACCCAGCATTATGTAGCATAACAGGCAGACTGATTTGGAGAGGATCTAGTTTTTCTATACACTGTCAGTGCCAGGAGAGAGATTATACTGCACACACACGCCCCACTGAGCATCTTCCATCAGAGATAGGGTGCTTAGAGCTAAGGGTGAGAGATGCTGCCCCTACCCTCAAGAAGCCAAAGCAGGGCTGGACTATGGAACAGATCTCCACTGCAGCACAACCCTAGATCCAGTGTGCTGGGCAAACCTGGGCAAAGCTATGCCTATGACTGCAGGGGAGAAGGTGCAGGGACGGCCACAGACAGTGCAGGAGCTGTTGAGGACTACAGAAGTCAGCCCACTGGAGCAGACAAAGTGGATGAGGAGCAGCTTACCGGGGCCAAGGCGACCTGAGGTCAAGGGGAGGGCACGGGTCCTTCCGGGTCCTGTGGACAGAGGAGAATGGCAGCACCTCACATTCCTGGCAGCAACTAAAGGGAAGAGGCTGGAGATACAGAAGCCGGATCAAGAAGGGACGCACGAGTCATGGCAGGTGATGAGGAATTTGCTGGGGGCAGGGAAGGATGCTAAGCTCTGAAGGGACATGAATGGATCACATGTGTCACCAAGCAGGAGAAAGAGTCTGGCTGGCAGCGTGTTTGGCCGGGACTCCTCAGTACATGGATAGTGGCTGGGTCAGGTGGGCGCCTGAGTAATCACCAGGCTATTAAGTCTCCTGGGCCCAAATCAAGGGCCTGTTTTTATTGGGTTAGGTTGCTGTCTAAAGTTCCAGCGGGGCAAGCCAGTGCATTCTGCTCTGTGCCCAGCAGCTAAATGATGAGATCATGATACAGTAGGCAGCTCTTGGCATTTATTTCTTAAAGAAAAAACCTTACGGATGGCCAATTCCATTCTTAATGAGCATCTTATATCACTTCTTATATCACTTGGACCCTCCAGACACCAAGAATTTAAAAATAAAATGTCAAGAGCAGCAGACTTCTACTTTATCATCGTCAGATTTCTTGCGGTTTCTGAGCAATTATCACAGCACTTCACCCACCAGCCATGCGATGTTTATTCCCGATCTCCTACGGACACACAGACATTTAGGAAATCAACTTCGAAGATTAGCGTGGCCACTGGGGACAATTCTCTTACCGAGGATCATTTTCACCAAAAGCAGGCGGCAGCATTATGAATCATCTGTGACCACTTATGCTGGAGCTGAATACATTAAACTTTAGTGGTTTCGGCACGAGAAGCACTCGTAAGTCTGCACATCAAGGCACTCATGTGCTGGGCCTAATTGTACTTAGACAAAAGGCAGGAATGCATGGCAGCCAGCTACATTTTGCTGTGAAATTAAAATCATGAATCTCTAATCACAAGTGAATTTCTTTTTTAAAATTCATTATTCATGATCTCATTCTCATTAAATTATTCATCTTCTTAAATGCTAGTGCTGTGACCTTTTCAACTTTTCCACTCCACTTATTGATAAATGCCTGACAGCGGAGCAGTCTTGGGCTTTGAATTTAATAAAATGCTTCTTCAATGTGCTGCTGGCTTCCGCCTACAGTTATCCTGGGTTGTGTAGGCAGCCTGGCTACTCAAGGTTAAAACTGTCACCTTTCACTGGGTCTAAGAGTTACTAACAGGTTCATTAAAAAAGGCCTCTTTCAAGAATGTTCCTTTCCAATAAGCCTAAGTTGGGAAACAAGGTTTCCTGTGACCTGTCCCCACCCTGTCCACCTTACCAGTACCACCGGATGTCACTGTCCTCACACAATCTGCCTTCTTCCTACTTCCTGGAGTCCCTGGCCTGTCCTGTTCCTGCCTCTGGAATGCGACATCACCCATAGTCCACCACGGCTCCCCCGCTGCCAGGCTCCCTTCTTCCCCAGCCCTGCGCTCCTCCCCTCACAACCTGCTTACTGCCTGTGCATTACTCACCACCATTTATAATCATCTTGTGTGTGTGCTGTTTCCTGCCCCACTAGGATGGATGCTTTATTATGGCAGAGTCTTTGTCTGTTTTGTTCATCTTGTACACCCACCTTAGTATGGGAAGGAGCACAAAGTAGGAACTCAACAAAGACTCATGAATAAATGAACCTTCAACTCCGAGAGATGATGATGAAAGTGAATTCCCTGAAATCACCTTTTCAGTTACTTAAGTTCAGCCTGTTCCCAGCTCACCTCAGTTCTGTGAACTGACTCCATAAACCACAAAAGAGATGTATCCAAGCCATCTTTGGGGCCACAGCCATAACCCACAACTTGGGATGTGGGACAGAAGGTTAAAAACAGCCTCTCATTGACACAAGGGCTCTGACATCCTAACAGCTGCAGGTAAGGAAAGAATTGAAGTTCAGGGGGACAGATTGTAAAGTGACCTGTTTCTCTTCAGCACCCTGCAATCCCCAGAGCACACCCCAAGGCAAGTGTAGGATCGCGGAAGAAGAGAAGCCAGGACAGCCTGCAACACTGTTGATGCAAGGGGACTCGGGAGGCCTGCACAAGCCCCAGTGTGCCCTGTGCACACTGAGCCCACTGCTTGGGTAGAGAAGGACAGAAGGAGACCTTCACCCAGGACCGCCCTCATCAGCTGTCATGGCCACACCACCACTACTGCCTCCTTCGCTCAAAACTCCTCTAACAAACCGTGAACCAGACCATTTTATCCAAAGGACTGGGCAGAGGAGTGAAAGGAGTGACCCTGAGGGTAAGTCTGTGAGTCACTGACACACATTTCACAGTAAGAACCAGTCTGATGGGTGCATTTATGTTTTCTCAATGAAGTGATGGCTTTGGCTAGCGCACAATGTATTATTATAATAGGGAACCTTAGATTTGGATGTTTAATATGAGTTAATGATGATGAGCTTTTATGTAACTTAAAAAGCCACTCAAATTGGAATGGTGCAAAATTGCTAGACATTCTTGGCAAAGGCAAATGAAAAATGCAAAAGATCTTCAGATAAGCAGTCCAATTAGGTACCTTTGGATTATGACAGATGACTTTACAAGCTTCCAAGACAGGTTTATCATAGTATTTTTCTGAATACTAGTATGTGCTTCATAACACATCTTCAAAATATTATTGTTGGCATGTGTAGGAGACTTAAGCTAGGGAGAGGAAAGGTAACTGGTCTTGTTACAAAAATCCATGCCTAAGATGACAAGGGCTCAGAAAAGAGCGCTTAAGTAAATACTTGCTGAATAACTGATGAGCCAGATGAAGATTAGAAAACTGGAAAAATTTGCATCTCAATTCCGAGTCCCACATACAACCCCTTCAGAGCAGGCAGGTCTTCCTGGGGACTGGCTTGAACTTCTCCCCACTCATTAAATCAAGCCTATGGGTGTCTCCTGAGGTCATTCAGACTGCCCTGCTGTACCTCCTGTCGCTAGTGTGGCAATATAATTCACAGAGGAGGCATTATGTTAGACTTCAGCACTCCGTGATGTTCTCAGATTCCCTCCAAGGACTCCAGTCAGCTGACGCCTTGAAAGTCATTTTCCTGGCACCTTGAGATGAATTTAGTGCCACCTCCTCAAATGTGAACAACTCCTAGGTCATCCTATTATGCCACTTAGCCTCTGACCAGCACACCTTTAAAATAGATTTATTTAGGCTATAAACAGACAGAACAGTGCTTCTGTCTTTAGATATATTAGGCTAAAACAGCTGGGAAAACAAAATTCTGATTTTCTAATGCTAAAATCTAGAGGCTAACTTGAGAAACAGCATGAAGAGGTCTATCAAATTCTAATATAGACAAACTTAGATGATGTTTTATAATCTACTAAAAAAATCAAAAGAAGCAAAATTTCAAAGTGGGAACACTCTTGAGGGTCTATCATCTCTGTTTCATGTGAGGTTCAATTAAATACTGTAGTAGGTATTTCATGACTTAAATTAGAAAATAGGTCCTGACAGGGGACATATTCCATTAGCACACTGGAGTACAAATTTACTTTCTGGTAATAAACTCACTCACTCCTTGCTGTTGTCCTGAAAGATACTTGTTGTCTGGTGAATTTTTGTAGCTTAAGAATTAACCCAAAGTTAGGTTGCTCTAAAGAAAATCACTTAGTGACCCTGATGATCCAAGTATGTGCTATTATTTAACATTGCACCCTGCCAAGTGTTATCAGCTGTATAAACAAAAAGAGTGATCATGCATTTTTGTACCCATGCAGAGCTTTCTGTACTCATTTAGAATATAGAAGAGTAGAGAAACAGTGTAATGCTAAGTGCTGATGAGAAGTACTGGCAGGAAGTGATCGGTTGAAGCACAATGTTATTTAATCTCTTGGGATTAGTCAGAAAAGGGTCAAACATTCTGGGAGAATTCCTGCAGGAAAAACGGACGTGAGATAAGCACTTGAGGTCAGCAAGGACAAAACTGAATTCAGGCTTTTCCTCCCTCAAACTCTGTCCCCTACTAGAGGCTCCCCAGTGACCAGCAATCCAGTTGCTCTCCCCAAGGCCTCTTTTTCCTTCAACCCTTGTCTCCAAGCAACTCCCAAATCTGCTGATCTTACATCCCAAGGAAGTTCTTATACCCGTCAACTCCTCTTTAGCTCCACTGCCACTTCCCAGATCTGAGGCACCTTCCTCTCTGGCCCTCACAGTATTTATCTCATTTTGTAACTGGATATCTGTATTACTGCATCACGAAGTGACAAAATAGGCCCCTGATGGCAGGGACGAGGTCTGTTTTTCTGCTCATTGTAACTTTTCCATTGCTGACTCAGACACTGGAACATAAGGAATAAGAAAAGCTGGTCTAACAGGACCTCAGGAAAAAAAGGAAGATGCCCAGCATGCACAAGGTCCCAGGTTCTGTTCCTAGCACTAAAAAAAACCCACAAGAAAGAAAGAAAGATAAAGAGTAGTGGAAGAGGCACAAGGAAGGTCCCCAGAGTGTTCCTGTCATGGTCCTCTGAAGAGAAAGGAGACAGCTGATGCACTGCTTACACTTGCTCTTCCCTAAATCAAACAAGCTGAGCAGCACAGAAATGTTATTTCCCTTAGAGATAAAGAATGAATACATAAAGAAGCGCTCCCAGCTCTGCAGGGCTCACAGGTGAAAGAGGTCCCTCCTGTCTGCCCTCCCCATGCTCCCTGGCTGACCTGGGAATCCTGCCCGCTCTGGGCAACCAGCAGCTACTTCTCACAGTTTCCCTCCTGCTCATTCCTTGGCTGCCTCTCCTCAATTACCGACATGGGTTCCTGCCCTCCTCCCTGACCTCTAGGCTTTGGAAGGCTCAGCTTAGACCACGTCCCTCAATTCTCTTCTCTTCCCAACTATGAAAGCCACCCAGTTATGGACACCGTGAGCAGGCCAGTGTGTCTGCATCTGTCCCCTGTGCTCCAGGCCACCAACATCCACAATGGGGGCAAACCTGGCTTCTCAGAGGAGCACAGCCAATC